CATATATATTTATAACGTATATGCTTATATGTGAATGTTTAATCTCATGTGAGCATAAATAGAAGAGAGAAGAGGGAGGAGAGGGGGGAGAGGGAGGGGAAGGGGGGAGTGAACTCTATGCTGAAGCTTGCTGAGATATTTGATGCTCAGATTAATTGAAAACTGAGAAAGAAGAATGACTTATGAAGAGACACTTTTGCTCTCCCTCTGGCGCTCGCTCTCTCTGTCTGTCTGTATGTCTCTCTCTCTTACTCTTTTTCTGTCTGTCTGTCTTTTTGTCATTCTGTTTGCTTAGTCTCTCTTTCTCTTTCTCTCTCTCTCTCTCTCTATCTATCTATCTCTATCTATCTCTTTACACACTGACAGACACAGGTATAAATAGACACAGCTGACGTGTATATTCACTTCCACGCCTCGTTAACGATATTTGTCATTATGCCCCACTTCATTCCCTCTCCTCCTCCTCCTCCTCCTCCCCACACCCACATCTCTCACTCCCACACCTCTTCCTACACCTTCTCATATCGCAACACCTATTTCCTCTCTCTCCCTCCCTCCCTCCCTCTCCCATTTTTCCCTCCCTCCCTCCCTCCCTCCCTCCCTCTCCCGTTTTTCCCTCCTTCCCTCCCTCCCCCACTCTCCTTCCCTTCCTCTCCCTCCCTTCACCCCCCCGTCTTTTCCTCTCCCCTTCCCTTTACCTCTCCTCCTCCCTCCTCTTCTTCTTCCCATTCCCCTCCTCCGTCCATCCCTTCCTTTCCTCCCCCCACCATTTCCTTCTCTCCTCTCTTCACACCTCCCTCCCCCATCCTTTCCCTTCCTTCCCTCTCCCTTTCCCTCTTCCACCCCTCCCCTCCCTCTCCTATCCCTCCCCTTCTCTCCCTTCTCCTGTTCCTCTCCCCCCCCCTCCCCTACCTCCCTTCTCCTTTTCCTCTCCCTCCCTCCCCTTCCCCTCCCTCCCTCGTCTCCCCCTTCCCTCCCTTCCCTCCCCTTCCCTCCCCCTGCCCAGAATTCCTCTGCTTTCCCAGGGGCATTTCCCTCCGTGACGTCAAGTCTTGCTTATTGGGAGACATTTCTTTCTACCTTTTTTTCTTTTTCTTTTTATTAATTTGTTGTTGTTTTGTTTATTCTTAAATTTTGTTTTGTTTATCTTTTTTTATTTTTGCTTGTTTTTTTAGTTTTTTGTTTATTTGCTTTTTTGCTGTTTTTGTTTGCTTTTTGTTGTTGTTTTATCTTTCTTGTTTTTGCTTCTTCTTTTTTCTTATTTTTCTTGGTTTTGTTTTGATTTTTTGGTTTCAATTTTTGTCCTGTTTTTTGTTTTGTTCACTTTTTGTTTTGTTTTTGTCTTGTTTGTTGATTTGGTAATTTTTCTTTGTTTTCATTTTGTTTTGTTTTTGCTGTTTTGTTGTGCCCTATCTATTCTTGTGTTGTTGTTGTTTGTTTTTATTATGCCTGTTGTTCTTACTGTCTGGATAATTGGTGTTGTTTTCATCTTCTTGTTCGTAATTAGTACTCTTAAGCCATTTGGAATATTACATTTATCAGTAGGAGTCTTCATGATTTTTTGTTGTTGTTGTTAATATTGTTATTGGCATTATTATCATTATTATTAGCATTATTCTTATTCTTATTCTTATTCTTATTCTTATTATTATCATTATTACTATTATAAACATAATGATAAAATGATTGTACAATAATAATGTGATAATGATGATGATATTATGATATAATAACAACAACGACAATATAATAATAATAATAGCAATAATAATAATAATAATAATAATAATAATTATAATAATAATAATAATAATAATAATAATAATAATAATAATAATAATAATAATAATAATAATAATAATAATAACAACAACAACAACAATAATGATATTAATAATAATAATAATAATAATGATAATAATAATAATGATGATGATAATAATAATAATGAAAATAATAATAATAATAATAACAATAATAATAATAATAATAATAATAATAATAATAATAATAATGATAATAATAATAATATTAATAATAATAATAATAATAATAATAATAACAATGATAATGATGATAATAATAATTTGAAAATAATAATAAAGATAAAAATAATATTAATAATGAAAACAATGATAACGATAATAATGATGATGATAATGATAATAATAATAATAATAACATTATAATATTAACAATAATAGTAATAAAAATAAATAAGAATAAGAATAACAACAACAACAACAATACAGTAGCAACATCATCAACAACAACAACGCAAACACAGCATCACCAAAAACCTCCCCACGAACGAACTCCCTCGGAACTCCCCCCCCCCCCACGGACAATTAAAGCTGCCTCTCCCGCCTCCCTTTAATTCAGATATAAAAGAAAGAGACAAAAGCCACGAATTTCTTTCCTTCGCAAAACACAAGAGAAGACATAGTTTTGCGCCGAAGTACGCACTGGATGAGATAAGGCTGCGACACTGATGGTAATA